GACTGTCTTCCGCGGTGGAAAAATTTTCGTGAAATATTTCCGACGACGTACGCGGAAAAAGTCGCGGCCGTTTCTGCTAATTCGCCTGAAAGGGCGCCAAAAATGTTTGCCCAGATCTCGATACGCGCCGCGCTCGTTCGCGATGAAATAACGCGACACCATATAAACGCGATTTAATTTTTCACGCGACCGTGTTCGCGGAATTTTATTTTTCGTCCGTCGTTCCTCTTCCTCCTACCGGACATAAAGGGCCGGGCAGAATGCACCCTTTATTCGCGACGTACGAATGAACCTTCCGTTCCGTACGGTCGACGAACGTCGATATTTTTGTTTGGATTTTAATATCGCGATATTTTCTATAGCAACGCCGGAAACGGACGGCGCATTTTTAACAATGAGTCGTGTTTTGCGTATAAATTTGATTTGCCGTACCGTTTGAAAGTGTCATCTTTCTTTCGATATATCGCCGGCACGGTACGATCCTCGCCGTCGTAACGCGCTTTGCAAATTTAATATTATCGCTCGTCGTGCAAAAACTTTGGTCAATCTATTAATTTTATCGAGGTTTTTTTTTTTTAATTTGTTCTATTAATTCCGTAAAATTTCGCAATTATTCTAACCGATTCAGCTGACTCTGGCTATGACGCGACGTCGCTTAACATTACGACGTGTAAATAATAAATGCTGGAAATCGATTGGAATTATCAATAATTGTATTATCTACAAAACGAATTAATTATAAAGCGGTTCCGATTTTCCAACAAATGCTTTTGATTCTCGAACGCGGAACGGAAGCCGAGAGAATAAAGTGCGTGTTAGTATGGAACCGATGGCGACATCTTTCAGCTGCAACGCGAGCTGCATTTCTGATTCTGACGTTATGCGGTAACGCAGGCGATCAAACTGTTGCAATCGATTCGCTATTTTCTCATCGATACGAAACACATACGAGAAAATGTCACGTTCAGACGTATAAAATAGGCGATCGTTGATAAAAGATAAGCGTGAAATATATGACTAAGGCTAGCAAACAAATCGGAAAAAAAAAAACAATACGGGTAATATTGAAGGAGAAAATAAATAAAATATATCGGGCTTACCAAAACGATGAGTGAAAAAGAAGTGGGAGGTGCGAAAATGTGCGAGGAGACGTCTGCAACAATGGAAAAAGAACTTTGTAAATAAAAATGCGGGAAAGTTCGAGGGGATGTTTTTTCGAGCGAGTAATCAACAACGCCTTATCGATCGTCGGGATGGATACGATTTATTTACAAATGTCACATATTACATTACAGCCATTACAGCATCGTCGTACAAAACGGGAGGAAACAGTTGCTGTAAAAGGAAGAGATTTTCGGAGCATTGCAGCTTCGTTTCTAAACTTATCTGTTTTCTTCTTTAAGGATATATTACATCAATTTTTACAAATGTATTGATATTTATACTTTAAATAAACTATACACGTATAAAAGTTATGTTTATAATATTCTATTTTTACTGAGCAACACATTTTTATAATTAATTTACTTTATTAATCTTCATTATTAAAATTTAAAAATATGTCATGATAAAAATCTTTTTTTTTTTGTATAACTACTTATTCAAGTATTCAAAATAGTTTATGTAAAGTTTTATTACGATGTAGAGATGAGTTTTCTGTAAATAAACAAATAAATAAATCCTGCTTATTGACAAAACTAATCTCTGGATTGCAATGAAACTGCATAAATCATCTTCAATACTTGAACTATCTATATTCAAAAATGAAATTTTTGTCATTGTTTATAAAATACATTTTTTATACTTCTTTTAGAATACAAATAGAAAAACATTTCTTACATTGAAATGATTTTTTATTAGGTTCTAAACTGTCGCAAAATTTTTTGTATTATTTTGAAATGCCGAAAAAAACGGTTTTACAAACAAAAAAAGTATATAAAAATTTAGCTAGATACAAATTTGAATATAATTTTGTTTGGACCATTAAAATAATTAAAATAATTGGACACTCCAACTAATTGTTAGAATTTTTAAATTTTTTGCAGCATTACTATAATTATTTTTACGATTCAATAAAATTATTTTCAAAGTATATTTAGCTAAATTTTTTGATATTTCAGCAAAATCGGTTTTTCTGTGTAGAAATCAGTAATCTTTTATTATTTTGAAAATATGTGTAATACATCCCTAAAAATCTTAGAAGAAAGACTTGAAAAGTTTAAAAAAATTAACGCAACTTTGTTCTCGATAAGTTTGAAAATAAAAAAATAGCAGCATTCTTCGCACAGAAATATTTATGTCCTTTCAAAAACTTGTACGTAAATTGTTTATAACAAACCGAAATTTACATTTCGTACCTGTGTTAAATAATGTGTGAAATATAATTGAAGTACTTTTAAATTACACGAATTAGAGTAAAAGAAATGTAGCGATTTTCTCTACTTTTCTCAATATAAAAAATTAAGCTATACGAGTCACGAAGGAGAGACTACGATATCTCACATTAAAAAAATTAAAATTATTCTTTTAGCGAGATATTATCATACACCTTCGTGACTCGTGCAGCTAATTGTAAGCACATGTAGTTACCTGATCTATTCATCGTATCTAACAGAGCTTGATAATTTTCAAACATAGGCGATAATAATTTAATGGACATAGCTGACATAAACATGATTAATAATAATTTAAGGATACTAAGAACTAACATAAACACAACAAACATCAGCCGACCGTTCCTTCATCTAGATAATCTAGGTTCAGGTTCAGGTAGAAAATAACTCGGGGTCCTACGCACAGAAATATTCAAGAGAGCGAAACATTAAGATCGCTTTCGAGATCAAAACAAGCGGAACCAGCGAAACCGGCGTCTGGTTTTCCCAGCACAAAGACTTGTTCGATATCTCGACAATACACGCTTCGCGAAAACAACCTAGCTGCGGCCCTGTGACCGATCCTCTCGGGAACGTCGCGTCGCGGCGCGACCTGCGTCGCGACGTGACGTTTCGTCGTCGCCTCTCACGCACACATACATACATACGCACACCCATACACACACGCACGCATTCCTTTACACCCACATCCGTGGACGCTCGCGCGCACGCGCGCGCACCGCGACGCAACCAACCACTTGTGGATCGCCCGGTCGCACCAACGTGCCGCGTCGGCGGATCGCCGCGATTTTTTTTCGCTGTCGGCGTTCAGATCGGCCGTCGCGATGACGATGACGACGGCGACGACGACGACGACGAGGACGAAGGAGTCGGGCATCGACGACGAGCTTGCGCGCGCGCGCGTACGCTGGGAAACGTCGCGAAAATCGGATGGCGCGCGCGCGCGCGCGCGTGTATGTCAAATACACGCCATGTCAAACGCTGCACGGCGGGTTCGCGCGGAAAGTAAAGTGAAACCGGCGAGCTTACCGAAACTCGGGGGACCGGCACGGATCGGCGGGTCGTGTGAAGCAGCGCGGTGCGATTCGCCGCGCGAAAACTCCGCGGGAAATCAAATGAGAAGTACGGCGGCCCGCGGGAGGCGTGCGGCGAGACGTTTCGCTTACAGACAACTGCATGTACACACGGCGACGGTGGCGCCGCGACGCGGCGCGACGCGGCGCGGCGCCGTCGTCGTCGCGATGCCGCACTGTGCTGCGACTTGCGTGGCGACTCGGTGCGGGGAGGAGGAGGAAAGAGCTGACTCGCCTCTCCTTCTCTGTCCCTCTCGTCGTTTCTTCGTCGTCGAGAAAAAGCGTTATGTGCGATTTTCAACATCGACGAAAACGCGCGCGTGCAGAATTCGCGATTCTTGGAGAGTTCGCTCATTCATTTGTCAAATATCGCCTCGATATTTTTACATTTTCATTCATGAAATGAAGAAAAAAATTAGCTTGTGGACAATAAGTTTTGTTGTATGTACGATGAGACGGCTCTTCTCTAGACAAAGGATGAAGAATAAACGAGAAATTTCAGATTATACCTCGAATAGAATTTCGCAGCCTCTCTAGCAGCACAATGGAGCTAATGCGATCAGACATAATCAGATAGTTTAATTTATTGATACATTAATTAATACGATTAATATAATGCAATATTGTTTATTATCGGCTAACGCTGCATTGCATTAGGTTTTGCAAATCGTTGATAGATGGCGCCACATACCCGATACGATGGGCCGTATATAATTCTGTAATACTTAAATCGAGATCAAATTCGCAAATACATGTATTTTTTTTATAAATAAGACTATTAATTAATTCGAATATATCGAACTTATGCTCCATACTATCGTTCTGCGTTTAAAGAGAAATTCTGTCTTACATCTGTAATTTCTAAATATATTTTTTTTATATGTTCTTTATTAGAACTTCTTACATATATGTATATACATACATACCCGGAATAAAATGTTTTACATATAATTATGTATAATTTTATATAAGTATAATAAGTATATATAAATGGACATATTTTATATATAATTACATTTAATTACATATAATCATATATAATTTTATACATAATTTCATGTAATTTTATATATAATTATATATAATTGTATATAAAATATGTTCATTTATATACAATTATATAAAATTATATATAATTTTATATAATTATATATAAAACATTTTTTCCCGGGATGGAGTACATTCCGCTCTAATTATTATCTGATCGATCACGCGATTTTATTTTAAGCAATTTTAAACAATTTACATTGTTTAATTAACAGTTTTCTTTAATAAATATTTTTATATTGACCATAAACGGAATTATTAATTCAAATATTTTACGCTCTTCATGAACATCCCGCGTTTAAGAATGTATTGGACATATTTTCTAACAAAATGAAAAAATTATAGATTTTTTCTATACTATATTTGAAAGCAATAAAAAAAATAATTAGTGGCGATTTAGAATCAGGTCAAAAGTGTTACTGAAGTCGTTATTATTATAATTAAAGTGTTATTAAAAATATATCAAAAATTTTATTTCGATAAGAGAAGTAGACATGATTTTCAAAAATAATTAAGATAAAGTAAAAAGATTTTCATTTAAATTATACACCTGGGAAAAAATGTTGTATAGGTATAATTATATAATAAAATTATATAAAATTATATATTTAATAATTTGAAAAATTGTTTTTCAATAATCTATTTTTATCTTTCTTAAAATTTTTATATGTTTTTAACGAAATTATTGAAACAAATACATCTAACGTTTCGTACAAAAGTCCTCTGTCCAAATAATTCAAACAATTTAATTTGTATTTTTTTAAATTTCTGTATTTTATCTGGTACTCTGTATACATACATAGAGCACATTCTGTGGTGATTATCATAATCGCTCACGCGATTTTAAGTGCATTATTCGTTTGAGATTTTTATTTCTTATAAATACACCATACAAAAGTTTTCTCCAAAAACGTTAAAAAAATCTCGCCAATTATTTAAACTTATTACCATTTATACAAATTACAAATTACTGTTTAATTTGTAATGTCAAATTATATCCAATTTGACTTATTTTTAATCATTTCTATAGATCGCCATTTGCTCCCAATCAATATGTTATTAATTTAATTGAAACAATGGAGTCAAACAATTTAACTAAAAAAATATATAAATTTGACTCAAATTATTATTTGCGAAGTGCATACTTAATATAGAAACGTTGTTTATTTTGAAATTAGCAATTCAATCAGAAATGAATTGATTTACATTTTGTTACACGTGAAAATTAAAATGACAATATAAACAATATAAATAAAGATATACGGTTCTAAAAATAAATCTAATAAAAAAAAGTAAAGAAGCCTATGCAGCTGTCAGTACGTAAATAATATTTATTATATTAAAATATTTTTACTGTACCAACGTTTCAACCATTATTTTCGATCCTTCTCAATGCAAAATAAATCTAATATAAAAATAACAAAATGTTATTTGACTCAAGAAATTGAATCAGCACTACTCCTTTAATATTTAACAATATAATAAACTCAAACTAGGAAAGAAATCTATTTGGCGCATCCGAAGATGCGGTCTCGAGATGACCATATGACTCTCGACCAATGCCGTCCCTGCGTGAATACAAAGATAGGGTCGAGTTTCGACGAGATCGTCCATCTCTTTTTCGCTACCCACGCAAGCAGTAGGGAGAGCGAGACGGAACGATCAGACTGTCGTCGGGCGAATCGGAAACGGAGCAGAGGCCAACGAAGGGTGTGCGGAGCGTATTGTCCGCGGCGCCTTTCAACATGGCACCGGTGCCGTGGCCGCCACGTCGGAGAAACGTGAAGAACGTGCTTCATCGGGGGTGCACTAGTGCATGAGAAAGGGTTTCTCAGACGTGAACGCGTGAGAGTGCATCTTCGGAGAGTGCGTCGGATTTCGTAATAGATTTCGTACGTAGAGAACGCGAGGGAGAGAGAGATCGAAGGAGCGAGTAAGAGGGAGAGAGAGGGAGAGAGAGAGGATAGCGTGCTATGCCGAAGAGTCGCACGGGGCAGGGACGGCAGGCCAATCCGGTGGCGGTCATCCTACCCCGTGTCGAGTGACAGGCTGCTTACGTAACGGATTATTCTCGCTATGATAACGACACTCCAGACAGCGCGAACGCGACACGTTGACGCGAGGAAGCGGCGGCAGCAGCAGCAGCGAGACAGCATCGTCGCCGGGAGGGCCGTCGACGCGGCGGCGACGGCGCAGCGCGCGACCCCGACAGAAATACGTCGACCCGGATCCCGCTATCGCCGTCTCTGATACCTGTCGCTTAAACGAACGTCGAGCGTCGTTACGCCCACGTCGTCCTCACCTCGGAAACGCGGCGACACGCCTGACCGGGGTGCCGAGTGCGAATTATGACAGCGGCGGTCGTCATGGAAAACGTTAACTGGGACCCCGGTAAGTCGGACGGACGGCAGGTCGAGATACGTTGCTTTGGACACCTTTGGGAGAAACTTAGTTCCGAACGATTCGAAGCGTCGTCGAGGGTGTTTTCACGTGTTTTTACGTTTCACCCTCGACACGATCGTATATACTGCGCAGTGAGATAAGAGATGGTGGTGCTTCGCGCGGCAAGGGTGTTTTCGACGAAGTTGACCTATTGTTGTGGTGGCGGCGGCGTGTCGATAAGACCTCCCTCGTTGTTTCCGAATAAGTGAAGAGAGAGAGAGTTACTGGAGCAAGTTACGGAGCATAATCCAATACGCGACTGAATACTCTTCAAAGACGTATTAATAAAACGTTGCGTGTCGGGCGCGAGCGTGGTACGTTATAAATATAGAGCGAGGGTAAAGCAGAGTAAATAAACTGTACGAGTAATAACGGGGTCTTTTCTGATAAAACGCTGATGTGCCGATATTCCAATTCGCTACCGCGCACATTTCCGCGTGCTCCAATTTGCTTGAATGAAAATGAGGTCTCGAACGAGTGATCCGCGTTTAAAAATGAATCCGATATCGACGACATCGATCGGCGCATAAGCGCCACGAGGAATCCTTGTGCCTTTGAATTAAAATAATTATAGAATTATGTAGAAAAGAGTTAAGAGTTCGTTACACCGTTTCCAATTTTAGTACTTCCGCATTTAAATATGGAGAACGTAATTAGCGCTATTCGATTCTAATAATACACGCTTATACTTTACGCTGAAGTTTATATAAAGCGGAAGATAATAAAAGAAGCTGACGGACTTAAATGAAGAAATGAAGACACAACAGTTTTTCAAAATTTCTTCATTTTAATTAACTTCATAAATCTTTTTAATACGGAGGTCGTTTAACTGCTTTTTTAATCATTTCAATTTTCAATATTTTTATCAGATAGTCGAATCTGAAGCCTGAAGTACGATTGAAAACCACAAGCAATAGAAACGGAATAATAGATTTCAAACTATTTCTATTGCCTGTGCTTTTCAATTGTGTCTCAGATTTAATCTGTTTACTTATTCCAGCGTTGTCCAAGTTGCTGAACTCGCTGCAGGAGAACAAGTCGGAGATACCTAGCTGTACCGAGGAGGAATTTGGATTTCTCAGTGAGCTGCTGCAGTCAAAAGAACTGAACGCCCTGGTGAACGTTCATAATAAGATCCTCAACAATGTTAAGGATGATAAATTCTTCCCCGTGCTCTCAAACTCGATGGACATCGATGTCGAAGTTCTCGATCTGTTGTCGACCAAAACGCACGTCTCGTCCGATTACAAAGAGCTATTCCACTTGTTGCAGAAACCACACATTCAGGTAATTATAATAATATATAGAATATATTTTGTACGTTAAGTTAATGTTGCGTGTCGAATTGTTTGTATAATATAAACAAAAATCTTCTATAAAAAGTATTTAGAGTTAAGCTACATTTTGATCGAAGTTTGAAGAAGAAATTGTTATTTTGAATTTAGTCAAGATAAGTATAAACTACTGTTGGTGATATTTTAAAGTATATCATTTTTTTATAAATTATTCTGAATTTGTTATAATTTTGTAGGATATTGAAATTATCACAGGTTGTGGTTTTTAAAAAGGGTGGTTTTTAAGGTTTATAAA